AATATAATTCCAAAGAGGAAAAAATGTAGCTCCTATTGTATAGCTGATTAAGGTCCTTTCAGAAACACATATTCCCTCTCTGGGGTCTAATCTATATAGAAAAAAGAACTTGAATGCTTGCCTGGGATAGCGGACTGGGTGAGAATGGTAAGGGTGTGAGAACAGAGGTCTGAGGGAGTTCAAAGTTTGGTTAATGGATACAAAATTACAGCTGGATAGGAGGAATGACTGCTCTATAGCACTGTAGGGTAAATATGGTTGATTATCATTTATTGCATATTTCAAAAAAATCTATTATAGAAGAGAGAATTTTGAATGTTCACAATGCAAGGAAGTGATAAATGTTTGAGGTGATGGGTATGCTAGTTACCTTTCGATCATTACACATTGTATACACTTATCGAAATGTTACTCTATGTCCCACATGTATGTATAATTATTGTGTGTCAGCTACAATTAAAAGGGGAAAAATAAGGTATGGTGTCAGGGAATTAGAGTGCTGGACAGTTAGGAGATTAGGGAAAAACCTTTGCTGTTGCAAAGACCGAATGAGATCATATATGCACAGTAGGGTGGGTGGTGGAGCAAATTGTCTCCAGCTGGGCAGCCTGAGCTTAAATCCTCTTCCTGGCTGTGTGACCCTGTGCAAGTTACTTACACTACCTGAATCCCAATTCCATCAGCAGTGAGTTGTGCAGATAAAATGAGACAATGGATGGAAAAGTGCTTTGCTCATGGTAAGTACTCTGATGTCAGTGATTATTATTCATTATTTTTATTTCCTCAAATCCCTCTATTTAAAATTACAACCCCAATATGCTCTGTTCTCCTTCCCTATTCTATTTTTTTCTGTAGAACTCATTACCATCTCCATATTATATAGTTACTTATTTATCTTATTTTTAACCTTTCACATTAGAATATAAACTCCATGGTGATATGGGTATTTTCTGTTTTGTTCACTACAGGGGAGTTCGCAGGACAGTACTAGCACATGGTAGGCACTCAATAAATATTTGCTCAATGAAAGAATCATTGCTCAATATAGTCTTTGGTATACAAAAGGGTGGCAAATTGTTTGTTATGAAATAGCCAAAAATGACACTTGCCAGTGGGAACCATTGCCAGGGTGCGGCCGGAGGTGTGAATTCCCGAGCAGAGTGGAGAGAAAGGTTGTTGGAGCTGAAGTCAAGAGCTGAGCCAGTGTATTGGGTGGATCATACACATAGAATTTGTGTCGTAGGAGGATGCTGGGAAGTGAGGTGGAGCAGAGGATGCAAAGGAAGCTGCCAGCATCGCTAAGCCTATAGATAAATGCAGAAGGATGCTCTGACTTGTTAACTACAGTAAGAAGCATAGAGGGTGGAATTATCAGATGGCTGCTCTTCACAGTCAGGGAGCTTTCGGAAGTGGAATAGGGAGCTGGGAGAATCCAAACTCTGCCTCCCAGTCCTGTGCCATATGGCCCACAGAAGACTGAAGAACTGCCTGAGGAGAGTGCTACAGAAGTGATGGTCCCTGGAGAGGACTGGGATTCCATCAAGGAAATGGGTGGGCGAGTGCAGCAGAGAGACGGAAACTGCAGAGAACTGCGTTGCTAGGGGTGTGACATTCCCGTGGGAATGATGGAGGAAGAGCAATAATCAGGAGCACAGAGCAATCTAGAGATGAGGGTGTGTAAGAGATGAGAGACTGAACAGATGCTAGAGGTGATATTTTGACACGAGGTCATCCCCGGACTCATGATAGGAGGGGCTCTTTTTTTTCACCACCACACACAAGATGATTTTGTAGTTAAAAAGCTAACCAAGGAAAGGAATAGCACATTTCCAGAAACATCATGATGTTAAAACACTCAAGGGAATTGTTCAAAAAGCTAACAGTCACGTCTTCTATTTGTCATGGAAATATCTTGCCCTTCCACCTCAAAAGAACATTTGCTATTAATAGCTTCAATAGGATATACTCTTGGATGAATTTAAGAAGTCATTATCATTTGTAACCTTTACATTTTTTAAAGCCCAATTTAAAATAAATAGCTTGAAATTTCAGTGAAGCTGCTTATAAAACTAAAAACTTTTATATTCAGGAAAACTTTAGGACTCTTGTGAGTTAGAACCAGTCTAACACTTTTCTATCTCTCTTGTCAAATTAAATTAGGAAGTGTGAAGCACTTCACGTGATCTCCAAATAACTCATAAGCCAATGTTCACTTCCTAGTTGATTGGTTGGTCAGTGGCTCCAACATTGATGGAGTGACTGTGATGCTTAAAGCATTGTAAGAACAAAACGACGAATAAGGCAGGGCAGGATTCTGAACACTATAAAGACACTATTTACAACTCAATAAATAATGGAAAAGCTATTTGGAGTAGGTGAATATTTTGACATGAGAGTCTTTTCGTGCTCTTCTACAGTCCCAGAATGAAGAATTGAAGATAATGTTAATAATAACAAATGTGGGCAAAACCAGAGTGCCCTAGAAGAATATGTTAGGAGTGCTTTTCAATAAAATATGTTGAATGAAAGTCTTTTTGGAGTATATAGATTTAGGTGGGGGCACTGTTCTCCAGGTAAGTTAAAATGTCACCATTTCTGTGACATCATCACAGAGATAATACAAAAAAACCCTTCTAAGTTGCGGTAGCTAAAAATACTTGAGGCTAATGTATGTAAATGATGAAAACAAAACTTTCTCCATTCTGAAAACATAGTCATTCTTGCTCAGGTGGCGAGGTGTCATTTTTAGTCTCTCCTAAGGTTTCCCTTGAAGTGCATTTTAATATACTTTTATCATGTACGTGTTACTTGGTGAGATATACAGAGACACGTACATTCATGATATGGCTGTTCACATATCCCCTCAGGAAGCCTCATCTATACTTCTCTAACTTGAACAAAGTCCAAGATGAAGATAACATTATCTTAGGAGACTCCAATTAATATCTATTAGAACTTTTTCTTGCATGACTTCTTTTGGCCCAAATTGAGATGCTTAAGGAGTTTGGGTCTTAGTGATTAGAATGGCAATGTTATAAACTTTGGATATCCAGAAAGCTACTAACAAATATTGTATTTACATAAAATATGATATGTTATTTCATGCATTTATTAAAACCAGGACACTATTTGATTGATAATATATATCTTAAAAACAAAAACCAAAAATATCTTTAGATTGGTATCTTCAAAAACTATTTATCTCTCGCTGTAAAAAGAGACCCACAGTAAAACCTAAGCAAACGAGCCAACACATACTCCAGCCAAAACAAACAGCAACAACAAAAAAAACTGTTACAGTTATTTTTTATGGAGCCCCAGATAATTACTTGAGGGTTTCCATAGTGTCTTGCTTAATTTCCTGGATAAAAGAGGGTAAACTACAGCTTCTGCTGTGGCCAGATGGAACTGGGGAACGGGCTCTACGTACACAGGTACTGGGTGCACTTTAGGATTACCAACCTATTCAAACATAGCTGCTGCTTCTGAGATGTGCTGCTTATTAACAAGATACCTGGACACTTGTTTATTCCATCTGATTCAAAGAGAAAGTTTGGGAGGTCACAAGTTTGCGGATTTTGTATCTTTGTTATTGCGAAATCAATAACCTGAAGCAATGAAGGCTTTGACGTCATGTGCAGAACATACATCCTCTCCTGAAGACTGCCTATCCACCTGTCCTCCAGCCAAGCCAGGACAAGATATCAGGATATTTGGAAAGTCTGAATTCAGACCATCTTTCCTGACGTTATCCAAGCTACTCTGAGCTAAGAGCTTTCATCTCTAGGACCATCCTACAAACAAAGCTCACTGTTGGGAGAAAAAAGCTGCAACCATACAGACTATTTATGTGTATCAGCCATTCTGATTTTAAAAATTGCATTAAAACACATACCCAAATTAGAAAAATTCTTTTTGTTGCATTAAAACACATACCCAAATTAGGAAAATTCTTTTTGTTGCCATGAAACATAAAGACAAGTTCAATATTTAGATTCAATTCTAGAGTAAAATATTTTTTGGCTTACTTTTGATTGCAGGATAAATTTAGCTACTTAAAATTCTAGAAAGTAGGAATTTATGTGATAAAACTTAATATATAAGATGACCTATTAATTAAGTTACTTAATAACTTAATTAAGTTAAGTTACTTAGTTTTTCTCCCACCGTTAGTTCAGATAAGATCTGGCGCGTTCAGGGTGGTATGGCCGTAGACCCCACCGTTAGTTCAAATGTGCCATTTTATCAAGTGCCTGGCCTGTCAAGATGATTTAGAATTTAAATACAAAACAGAAGAATGCTAATCCTTAATGTAGAATATAACAAATTATCAAACATTGTGGTTAGATATTTGACATTATATTTACATATATTTTTCTGAATCTTTTCAAAAGGCAAGTCCATTGATAGTTGCCCATTTTACTGCAGTCAATGATTCCAATTGCAATTTCAGGAGATGCAGATCAAACTTAATAAAATGCTCCTTTTTTTCTTCTCCCCATTTTTCTGATCTCCTATACAGCATTCGTTGGCATAAGAATATATATACATATTTACATTTTACAATAATAGAGGTTGTATCTGAAATATTAATTATCCAAAACAAAGTTAAATGCCAGTACTAACCAAAAATATCCTTATATTTGTTGCATTGCATTTGCAAAAATGTTAGGAAAGAGCCCTGGTTGACAGAGTTAAGTTCCTTGGCCAAACAAGGTGCGTTTTGTTTTATTTTGTTTTCAATTGACCACAGTTAATTATGTAACCAATATTAACTGCAAATTCGCTTTAATTTTTTAAGATGAAAAATTGCAGATCACATACAAATCAAATTCATGTAATATTTTCTTTAGTATTTGATGTTTTCTAAGTAGCCATAGCATTTTCGTATAGAAAGGGAGACCAGAACTTTTGAAGAGAAGTGGGATTTGGAAAAGCAGGTGGGGAGATAAGGATGAGGCGAATATAAATTAGAATCTGGTATGCTATGTACTACTTACCTTCAAAAGTCAAATAAAACTTTCCTCTGTCAAACCAAACGAGGGAAGGCTGTTCATTCTCTGTATGGCCAGGAGTTGAAGCGGGATGGGAAGGGTTAAGGAGAGGGAGAGAGAAGGACACAATGTGAGTTACAGAGCAGGTCATTAATCTCACTATGGGGAAGGGAGGAGGCACTGCATGCCAGTAGCGTGCAGGAAAAAGGGAAGGCTGGCAGTCTATGTTTTGTTTCATTTTATTTTTAAAAATAAAAATTAGTTCAGGAAACAGAAAGCAAAAGCAAAGCTATGGAGGCCTAAAGGAATGGGTACATGTTGCTGGTAGCTTGATACTTGGTGCTTGTATGCATGGAGCAGAAGTTTTCCTGGCCATGCAGGGGCGTCAGCATATTTTAACTGCACTAATTTGGGCAAACTGTTATTCAGCAATTGCTGTATCCATTTCGTCTTCAATGTCATCTCCTTCTATGTTTCCAAAAAGATCAACTCAAAGTTATAGGTTGTACAAAACACTAGCTTAGGTTTTAAATGACAACAGCATTGCATATCAATTTAAAGGTCATGGCAGATATCCTATATCTTCCATCCCGTCCCCTGGAATCACCTTAGGTATTCAGACACAAAACACCCTTTACCTATGTACCAAAGAGAAAACAAGATTACTAATGGTGCTCTATTATTTTTTAAATTAAAAAGCAGTGACCAGACATGTAATTCTGAGCAGTTTAATTATTCCTCACTTTGTAAATTCACAAAGCAATAGCATTTCACCTTTTTTGAACCTTTTCACTGAGAAACTGTCATGCAACCTGCTGCTTTTTAATATATTCACTTAAAATATTTCAGAGGCATGAGTTCCACAATGAACAGTAAATACACAGGGTGAATCTGAGAGGCACTGGACACTCATGAGGTGAGGAGCATGTCCATGAAGTTTACAGCATTCAGATGGATAATGGCTTGGATTTTTGAAATCTAGGTATCTAGAGATCACTCGGCTAGCACCATACCTGCAGGCGTTTCACAGCGCCTTTCAAACGAGGGCAGTTTGTCATAAAAAACATCATCTTCTGACACTACGAACCAAAGAAACATAAACGAATGGAAAACAAAAACACAAATACAAATCCCAAATGAAATCGAGCAGCACACTTTACTGATTGAAACACAGAAATGGTTGTAATGGAAAAAGGAAACAAAACTTAAGACACTGGAGTTATGTAGGATATAAAAAAGTGATGTGCTTATTTTATGATGATTCTATGAGAAGAAATTAAAATTGTAAAAAACACCAGGTTTCTGGTATCTGTGAATTTGGCTGAAGTCAGCTCCAGGGAAGAAGTCATGCCCCACCTTCTCAGGAGTTGCTAAAGCCACTATCATTAATAATTGACTTATGCGAGTGTATTTCACTTCAACACAATTCTCAAGTGGCCAGACATATGTCCATCAACAAGAACTCCTGACAGAGCCCTGGGAGCTCAATGGGATCACCCAGCATGCACCTTCCTCCCATGGGGAAAAAAGATGCTTTTAATGTGACCATAAAAAAACAACAGTATAAATCCAAGGTCCCAGCATGAACTATTCCATTTCAGCCATATCAATATCCAAAGCCAATTTGCCTTGCACCTGCCTTTGATAGCAATGGACTGCTCATTTTGAACAGCATTATTATAATTTCATCTTTGGCCATGGTATCCAGCTGTGGCTAACTGTCTTTGCAAATTGGTCATAATATCATGAATTGAGCCTCTGGACTTCAGCTGTTTCAGCTCTTTACAAGGTCTCACTTTCTCACCACTAACAAATGCAAGTCATTGGGATTTTTACTCAATGTGCTTAAAATAAAGGTTCTCAATGTCACAGGTCTTAAGGGTATTATTACAACAATTTTCAATAGACAATTGAATACATCTGTACAAAGACCAGTGAGGAAGAATCCTATCTACAGTATAGAGAGCATAAGGAAATTGATGAGGGTATAAAAATATTCCATAAACAGTAATGTTCTTTGGAAAATAGAAAATTGGCTTGCCTCCTTAGGGAGTAAGGCAGGGAAACTACTTTTTTTGGGTCAATTCTTAAAGTTGTAGGATATAACCTGTTCATCACAGTTTTTATTATACATGTGGCTTTTTGGTGCCTAGAATAAGTTAATGCAATTTCTATAACATCTATGGGAGTACTGGAGACAGGCCTTTCCAATAAAATAGCATAAGGGGGGAAAATAAAATGTGGGAATTTTTCCTTGGGATCTGGAATATCCACCTCCAAAGGCCTTTTTGTGCAGCACAATTAGTACTAACACAGATATGCTTTTGAAAGCTTGTACAATTTAGAATTGCAATCCACGTTGGAGAGAAAAAGGCTTAGAGGACATATTTTATGTTTTAGATGCTATTGTTCCACTGCTGAATACAAATAATTTTTACTCAAAGTTTTGAACCAAAAGGAGCATAGCACCAAAACCTATCTGATGTATCCTTTGGTGCCCATAAATGATTACTTTTCATTCATTACAGATCCCTGGGTTGTTAAAGATGCAATTTAAAATGCATAATTAGCAGGGAAGGAATATAATTAACAGTGAAGAAAAAATATTTTTATGGTGGTCTTTTTGTAGTGGGTTCTATGGAAGATTTTGCAAACATTTAAAAAAACTGCCATCGACCATAGAAATAAAAAACAAGTAACAAAAATGTTGAGGAGTTTCTTAGAATAACTACAAACATTTTCCCTGTCTCCATAATATTAATAGGATTTTTTCCCAAGGCATGTAATACAAGGTCCTGTGAGATTCTTCTAGGGCAAAAAGAGTTTACTGTATTTCATTGATTCTAAAATGTGCACTTTTTCACATTCTATCCTGTCTGAAATTGGGATGGGTCTTATATTAATAATTAATGTGATAAGAGAGTATTTCATCTTAGCTCAGTTGGCACCTTTTCCGCCTTTCTTACTCATATATAAAATAATGAAGCATTTTTAAATCAAGGCTGTCTTAAATTCAATAAAATGCAGTTGTGTAGGAGCTCATCATTATTTGAGTGTGACAATATACAGAAAATTGTCCTCTCAGCTGTGGCATCAGATTTACTACTTTATAATCACAGCTCTTATGAAAGATTTCATACCAAAGGCCTTTAGGGGCATTTTCTTACATGAATTGCTGTGTAGAAAGTTTAGACTTGCTCTTAAAAATTTAATTCTTGAATTAGGGTAAACTTGGCTCATTGGTTCCCATTATACATGCCCCAATTTCAGCTCAAGTACCATAGGATACGTTAAAAAAGTATTGTGGCAGTGGGAGGGAAATGTAGAGACATAAACTTCAAGGAGTTTGCTGCTGAAATTCTCTGCCTCCCTCAAGGCATTTGACTACACTAAGTTGACACTTCACGGCAGTCCTGAGCAGGCCCCTCGGTGTCGAACAGCCAAAGCGCGTCCTCTCCAGCAGCAGAGGAACAGTAACACGCAAGAAGCTGCTGGACAGTCATTTAATAGTGTATTTACTTCACAGAAAAGTGGCTGTCAGGCGACCCGCAGCAGGAGGAAATACATAACAGGAGAGTGAGGAATTCAGCAGGAAGATGAAAACCAAATAAAAAGAGCAGAACCCAACAGATTAAATCAGTATGCCCCTCAGCCACAGAGCAATGTGACTATCCTCTTATGTGGCTATTTTTCTTTTAAACCCTCTGTGGTTCATCTTGAAAGAACATGTAGTAGATGTGTTAAGAATCAAAGTTGCTGGCCAGGATTTGAGATTTCTACAGCAGGGAGTACAGAAACACATCATACAAAACATGGACACAGTTTAAATTCCTTGTGTGTGCAATTCTCTCTATGAATTATAGTGAGTTGAACGAACATGTTAGATGGTTCATCTGAGGTCACTTGGGGTCCCCTTTTTGAGTGACAATTCACTCTTACTTTCCTCTCTGATCAATAAGGGAAACCACATGAAGTGGGTGAAACAAACAATCTTGAGAAAACAAAACAGAGTAGAGGGGGATGGCTGTAGCAATTAAGGTGTATTACAGAGATGGAGCTAAAATATAAATGTTACACACACACACAAAAAAAAAAAAACAAGCAAAAAAATGAGAGAGAAATGAGCTAACAGGCAATGGGAGAGATAGGAAACCCCAAATTGCCTCAACTGATGCAAAGAATAAACGTGACTATATAAATAATGTTAAATATATCTGCTAATAAATCACATGAAACTGGATAACTGGCTATATTTTTACCAAATTTGAAGGGTTCTTGTTGGGATGGTCTGATTAAAAATATAGAGCATGTGATATAGTTGAAATTCCCTTTGGGGGCCTTAAGAGGCACTCTGGGAAAATAGGCAATTCTTTCTCCAGAAGAGCTTAAGGCTTTGATCAAGCTACTTCACATGGGCAACTCTGCAGTCTGCTCTTCTGTAAGTAGCAGCAAGAATTTATTTAGTTTTGGTTAATGGTTCTCCCAAACAATGCGGGATGGGTAGGCTGGCTTATAACATGGAAGAAATGGAGGGGCGTTCAGAGAAAGGAAGACAATGGGGAGTGGGGGTCACATGGGAAAAATGGGATGGGAGAGCCGGAGGTCAGAGACAGCATGCGAAAGTGAGAGAGGCAGCAGGAGCCCATGGGAGGTAGGAGAAGAGAGAGACCAGCCTTGGCAAGAGGGAAGCTGCTCCAGGCAAAATGAGGCATTTAAACCTGGGAAAACCAACCAGCTGGGCAGCCATTCTCAACTCTTCACTTTCATCACAGCACAGGGAAAGAAGCACAAAGGCATTTTACTGAAAATGCCAGCAATGACTTATTTCTCTGGGAAAATTGACCACACATCACTGAAAAGCACTAGAAACAAATGTCAAAAAGTTTGCTCAAGTCCCACAACGCCAATGTGTATATAACATTTGTCAACATAAGGACAACCAAAAATGATAAAGCAATGAAACTTTCAAGAAAATACAAGTCCTCAATTTTGTGATTTCTGATGAGGTACACAGTTGGGATTTAAATAAACATTTTCCCTAAGAGGAGACTCCTTTTGTTATAAGAAATAAGATCTAAATTCTAAAACCTTCCTTGATGATTTCTTCTTTACCTTTTTTGAGTAGCTCTGTATGGAATAGCGTAAGAAAATGCCTGCGAAACACACGTGTTAACGTCCTTTTATTTGTTTCTTTGCTTAGGTAAAGCACTTGGGCTCCTTTGCTGAGAAGGTGGTTTTAAAAGAAGAGTCAGGTGATAGTAGCAAAACACACAGCAAAACAGTTTCAACCAGAAACATAGGGCCTTGGGAATTTCAGATCATAAAAAATAGCCAGTCCAAACTACAAACGGATTAAAAGAGAGGAGACAACGTTTACCAACTGTGGGAGTGGTGGCTGCACTCAAGGAATTGGTTGACGATATTGAAGAAGTGCTCTCAGCCCGGGCTAGGGGCGCTATCGGAGGAGGGCTGGAAGAATGAATGGGAGGGCTAAAAGGTCTGGACTGTAGGGAGAAGAAAAGAGATGAAAAGTTAGATACACAGGTTGTAGTATTTTTGTTCCATATTTCTAATGTCTCCCAGCCCCGGATACGACAACTCGGGTTCTTAAAGTAGAACAGATAGTGCCATTTTTACACTGAAGTTGATTATATCTATACAGGAGCTTGTGGAACGGAGCTGGAGAAACTGTAAATAACATGCTGAAGTCACTAGGTACATTAGGCTTTGAAAAGCTGGGATCTGTGACATGGTCAGTGGGTCCATTTCAGGACTGCAAACTTATATGCCCTCAGGGACTAAGCAGGTAACACCAGGTGAGAGCTCACACCCAACTAAAGATACTGAAATACAAAATACTGTACTGCGCTAGCCAAGCCAAATATTATGGACAGCGTCAGTTTGTGATTCCTGTGTGCAAATACCAAAGAAATTTACCTCTACCACAAGTCTCTTAACTATTCACACAGAAGGTTTTCCACCTCACAGTGTTAAAGCACAACGCAAGAAACATCTGCAAAAAATCCATCATACCGTCACTCTCCTCTTTATGGTGTGCCTACCACCAATAGCTTATCTGTATTCTGGGGACAGGAACCAGGACTTGCCCTCCCTTGGAGTTTTCTAAAATCAGACAAATATTGGGAAACACTCTTTCTAAAGGGTTTAAAACAACTGAACATTACTATCTTCACTTGCATCCAACCCCCTACAGCAGAGCTGAGGGCCCAGCTATCCTATTCCTATCATTTCAGACCTTGACTTGAAAGATGGTAGAGACTTGAGGAGGGTTGAAACGTCCTGCGGTGATTGTCTTTCAGATGCCACCTGTAAGGGTTGCCTGCACAAGTGCTCTAAATGCTTAGACCTGAAGTTGAGATGTCCTTTGTCAAGGCATTTGGAGCTGTTGGTCACTCTCATCATCTGTTTCTGGGCAAGCCAGGGCAGAGGGGAACATACCACATCTCCGACTCCAGGCTTTCCTGGAGGTAGCTTGGGCCGAGACGGAGGCCGGGGAGGAGGTGGAGGTGGAGTGGTACTGCTGCAGGGAACCAAAGGAGTGGCTGGTCGAGCAGGGGATGATGCACCTGAAAAACAAGCTGGTATTAAAAATGGCTGGAAACCCATGTGGCCAAAGCACTGTCACCATGGTACAATGCCAGTCCCAGACATTTTTTTTTTTCCCTTGGGCGTTTCTTTTCTTAACCCTTTTGGCCCTTTTTTTTTTTTTTTTTTTTTCAATAAAGAAAAAAAATCACTCAGTTGAACTATGGTTGATGGCAGAAGCTGAAGCTTATTGCCTTTTGCTGTCATGTGACACCCAATGAAAGGTAAATCCTTTTATTATCCTTTTATTACTCTGTGACAGAGAGTAAATCCTGAAGACTCTTAGCTGGGTGGTAGGTACTTCTCATTTTGATTGTATACACACTAAACTTATGATAATTTCTCTTGTTTTTTTTCATGTATTTAGAATTTGTTTATGTCCAAGATGAAAATATGAGCACTAACTTTATCAATGTACCCAAACACTTGATGGTAAGCAACGGACAAAATATATAAAAGTAAATCAGATGTTGCCTGAGCGCTTTGTATTTAAAATCTTTTTTCATTGTCCCTTTGCAACAGGGGTGCTCTTTTATTATATTTAAAATATTAATAACAGAAACACACTGAACTGAACTTAGAAGATTTTATTTTGTGAGGGAGGCTACGTAGGAATCTGTCAACCTAGAGTTTGCCCATGATGATTTTTGTGATGCTTTTTGAAATAGCCTCTTGGATTTACTTTTCTGGCTGTCAATGACAAGCATATGAAACACAGAAGACACACAGAGGCTGGCATGCACACTGGTCAGCACACCAGTGGGGGCTCTGGACTCAGGGGTCTGCCCATCTTCAGTCATACGTCTGGAATACGTGGGAAAAATACTTGGCTAAAAATCTTAAGAAAGTCACATCAATATTCAAATAGTTCTTGTTCAGAAAAGTTCCAACTACTCCTGAGGTTTTGTCACTTTGTTTAGAGGCATAGGTATCAAATCATCCCCCCAAAATTCTAAGAAATCTTGCCCCAGGAAAATATCCATACTCTACCCCCACACCTGCCACCCCCTTGCCGCCTGCCCCCAACACACCACACAACTGTGATCTCTGGACAGTTCTAGGCCAGCATCCCAGTCTCCAGATTTTCAGGTTCTCAAAGAGCTTTGAAGTAGAGCGGCAAAACCTACCATCTCAGAAATCTGCTCTGTTTTACGAGAATCCCTGGGGGTCATCTTGGATCCTCTTGTTTAAACAATCTGAAATCCTGAGTGTGTTTCTCTGTGCCATTTCTTCTAAGTGTAATCACATTAGTGTGAAACCCTACTCATTATTACCCTCCCTCTCTCTTTACCTCCACCCCCCTCCTCTACAGTAGGGAGCCCACCTACCATATTCCTACTTGACCGTATTCTTACTTTTTATTTCATTGGGTCAGGGTCTATGCTAGGTCCTTGACATATATTATGTTATCCCCATGATAAGGTTTTAAGGTAGGTATTGTTAGAATCTCAATGGAGACAGAAACCCAGAGATATTCAGTAACTTGTCCAAGGTCATTTAGCTCAAATTGTATGTATACCTCCAAAGTCCAAGCTTCTAAATATAGTCTCTTGCAGCTTTAGATGGACTGTGGTACGGAGTCCCACATTTTGCTGAAAGTCTGTTCTTATTCTTGCATGGTTGGCTTGTACACATCTCTCTAAATATAAATGTTCTTAAGTTTTTGGCTAATCTTCTCTTTAAAAAAAAAACAAAAAACCAGGATATGTTTTGACAGGCCTCACTACAAGGTTTTCTTTTGAGTATTATGTTAGTAGATTTATAGCCAGGATGTTTTCAGAAGATAGAAGTAACAGCACAGAGATGGGAAATAAGCCTTTAAGCAGTAAAGTCTTAAGAAGTTTCATGAGGCTTCTTTTGGTGGGGTGGGGGTGTTTTATTTAGCTCTGGGAAAAGCACGCCATAGGAATGGTCCAAAATGTCTATCCACAGGTCTGTTTTCAAGAAATAGTCTTCTGAATCTGTCTCAGGAAAAGGCCAGCTGTTTATCCTTTCCCTGCATGTTCCAGAAAGAAATTTTAAAAACTCCTTTCAGTCATGCTTGGGAAAGTGTTTAGGGGTTGTTATCAAGGTGGTGTGGAATATTGAAAAGCACAAATACACGGGCAGAGGGTCTGAGTTCTGGCCCTGCCCGCCTCTTTTTACTGTGAGAGCTTAACCTCTCTCTGAGCCTCAGCAGCCTTGTTTGAAAAAATGAGACATTATTTCTACCTTACAAGGTAGTTCCAACAATCAAAATTGAAAATGCTTATGAAAGTGTTTACTATGTAAAATGCTACACAAATAGAAGGCAAGAGATGTTGATGTTGATGATAAAGACTTTTGTTGATGATAAAGTCTTTTGATACAAATACAACTAAAAAGTAAAGAAAAAATGTTAATTGTTTAATTGAAAGGTTGGTTGTTTTCTGTTTCCTTTACAGATCCCGTTTAAATAAATGTTTCTTTACTAAATTGAGTAGTTGATTTATTGTGCAGTTAGAAAGATCAAGAGAGTATGTAAGAAGCAAAAGGACATTTCACTTAAAACCCTGCTTGACAGAACCCCAAGGCTCGGCAGGAAACTCTGGGCCTGAGGGGTATTTCACAACTGAACTAAGGCTTCACAAGCTTTTGTGAGATTGCCCAATTGTTTCATGTTTTAAGAGTGTAGACAGTTATGATTCGTACATCTTTATCCTCCCTGTTCCATTTTCAATTATGCTTTCATTCCCCCTCAAGCAGTGTTTATTTGCAAAAACAATGCTGGAACATAAATGGGACACCACCACTGTTGAAGATTTAACTTTAAAAATCAGATGTACATTAGGTTTTGTGAGTTAAAAAAAAGTTGGCAACTATTTGCTGTTCTCAACCTGCAGTTTCATTGTAGTTTCTTTGGTAACTCCTGACCACATATCTACAGCCTCAACTTGCATCTGTCTTTTTATGTGTTGTGGGGGCGGGAGGCAGTGAAGGCGGCTGGGGAGGTGTGGCAAAGCACAGGCCTTGGAATTCAACAGATCTGGGGCCAGATCTTGGCTCTGCTACTTATTAGCTTTGTGACCATGGCCAAGTTACCTCTTTGAGCTTCAGTTTCCTCGTCTGCAAAAAGAGGCTAATAATACCATGATGCTGCTAGGAGACTCAAATGAATTAAAATATATACACTTTGAGATATGTAAAGAATTAAACAACCTTTCCCAAATTGTGTTTCTTAAAACACACTTATACCATTTCTTTGAAAAAAGTACTAAATATGTATGTAAATGGTTATATACTGTGTTTGTTTTTTTTTTTTATGACCAACACATTAAAAGCCTTAAAACAGTACTGTCCAACAGAGCTTTCTGCAATGATGAAAATGTTCTACAGCAGCATTGTCTAATGAGATAGTCAGTAACCACGTGTGGTCATGGAGCACTTGAATTGTGGCTACTGTATCTAAGGAACTGATTTTTACATTAATTTTACATTATAAACATTAAAATAAAAATAACTACATGGGCCCGTGACGCCTGTATTGGACATTGCTGTTCTAAAAGACTTGTAGTTAAGAAATTTATTTTGTCAATTCAGCCCCTGGTAGCTTAAACTCATTTGTTTATGGATGTGTATGTGTTTGGGTAAAGCACCTTTTAATATTGCATTAGCTTTCTATGTTAACAAATGTTGCACTGAACATTCTCTCTTTACTTTTCTCTTTCTCTGGCCTCAAAACTTGCTGTAGGCCAATAAAACTCCCTTTCCCTCCTGTCCCCTGACATACAATTCACATGGGAGAAGAAATAGTCTTTGCCAAGAATCAGAGTCTGCATTCCAATAAAGCACTGTTCTGGCCAAATGGGGAATTTATAACTTTTTGCCATAAGGAAATTAAAATTCTTAGAGCAAATTCTTAACTTCCAACTGTTTTTCAATAGCAGGTAATTCTTTTGATTCATAAGGCTGTAGGTACTGTCTACACTTGGTCAGTGGCAGTCACCTTGCTGTGAATGAAATTTTAAAGTAAGCTTAATGATATCCAATTAAATAGGAAAAGTTAGTTCCATCAGGCTGAGTGTTATAAAAAGCAGATACAAAGAAGAGTTTCTAATCTTTAAAACATGAGACCATATCCTATTGTTTCATACAAAATTTACATTTCTGACAGTTCTGTGTATATTCCATCAATAAAAGATTAAGCAGAAAATAAACTTGGACTTAATTAAAGAGATAATGGTACAAAGTTTTATTTATTCATGGGCTTCAGTGGCCCAGTTCAATCTTCCACTTAGAAATCCAATCCTTTAATACCAGCAAAGTATAGCTTTTTCCAGCTCAATTATTAAGAATCAATAGTCTTTACTGGTAACATTTTAAAATAATTTCAAATAAGGGTACAGAAGGTACACATTAAAATAATAGCAAAACTCTCAAAAGATTCCAGATAAAAAAACCCAAAGCTCCTTCTTCCTCATTAGATCGGTGGTGAATTCAATTAAATAAACATCTCCCAGAGCCTTAAAAAAGGTGAACGATGAAGCAAAGATGAACTCCAAAGCCACCTTTCCTCCCCACCCCTGGCTAAAGGTGTTCACTTTGAGGAGTGCATCCTCGCCCACCCCCGGAGGGATGGTATTCCCCAAAATGTCTTTTCAAAAGACTGAGAGCCTGGCCCAGGAGAGAGAGCCCTACAGAAAATAATGGAGGCATGCCCATCTTCTACAGAGGACAACTAGATTTTTGGGTTTGCAGTCTGAAGACTTCACACAGGGCTCTTTATTATCTTTACAGATAAGCAAGGAGCTTTGTATCCTCAAAAGCACCCCCAAAAGCAATAGAAAGATGGAGATGGGTGCTCCCTGTAGAATTAGAGAGGGGAGCACAGAGGAGTATATGTTGAGAGAAGACTTTTGGTAATCTTTTTGATGACACTGTGCAGCATAGGTGGGTGCCAGTGGTGAAGTAAGTTTGGAATATTTTGTGACCAAACTTTACAAAAGTATCTGGAGAGCACAGTGGTTAAGAACACAGGCTCAGGATCAGACAGATTTGAGTATGAATGCCAAGTCTATTATCTCTAGCTTATAAACTTGGGCAAAATACTTGACATCCGTGAACCTCAGTTTTTCCATGTATAAAATGGGAAAAATAACAGTATCTATCCCACGAGATTGTTGTGAGGATGAAATAGCATTCATAAAGCACTTAGCATGGTGCCCAGGACAAGAAACTATAGTTATTATTGGCAAAATAAAGACTCCCAAAGGTCCTACGGTAAAAACACTTGCTAATTTTGTTTATTGCAATGTTTCCCAACTTACTTGAGTATTAAATAGTCTTCCCTTTTTGGGGAAAGGAGGGCCGGGGACACACCTAATGATATAAAACGTCAGTGTTGTGTGAGGTCTAGGTGAATTCCCAGCCCTCTCCTTGATTGCCTTGGATGCTCTAACTTAAAAGCACGGGAGCATTTGCAAACACACAGCAAGCACTGAAAGCAATCCATTGAAAGAGGCAGCAATGATGACTGAGTATCAGAATTTCTATCTCTTTTTAGATCAAAGTACCTTACGCTTGGTTGCCTCTTTGAAAGTAAATGAAAAACAACACATGGCACTCCCTGGAAGGTGCCTAAACTGAACCCACATGCGAAGAAGGGAAGGCACTAGAGGATCTTGCCAGACAAATTTGGGCAATAGTGGAATAAATGATATGGAGGAAGATAAACTTGGAAAATCTTGATATTTCTTTAGTATGCATGGCCAGGTGTTATCACCCTTTCATAATTAGAAAATACAAAATGAAGCTCCAAATAAGGAAAACAAAACAAAAAAAAAATCAAATTCAGTATCAGAATTGGCATGGAGAGTCCAAAATGGTACATTTCTGGTAGATTTTTCCATCACCTGTCACCATACTTAGAGTTGACCTCACAGCCTAAAGAGCACGTTGCAGGGTGAGATCAGAGAACAAGTTTGTCTTCAGTGCTAGCTTGATTAGATTGGGAAGGCTATGTCAAATGTGACCCTTTTTTTTTTCTATTCCCTAAAATCTCCTTTTCAAACCTTACATCTTTTTTTTTTTATTTTTGGTAAAGAAATTAGAGAGGTTAACATGATTCTCCCCCAACTAAAAAGAAAAAAAAAAAAAAAAAGGAAAAAGAACAAGAAAAGGAAAAAATGGAAAAAAAAAGGAACCCCTCCCCCATCATTGCCTATAAAATAAATCTAGGGTTCTTGTGGAAGCACCTGAAAAGGAAATCAGACATTTAGCATGAAACTCACTCACTGTGAAATCTGTCTTTCTAGAACTTTCCTGAATTCCAAACGACATCGCTGCTTGCTTTAGGAAATCAACGCTTTCTAACTACGGGGTGGAAGGCAGGGCACTCGTAAGGGCTGGGAGTGCAAGGCAGGACACATCCACAGACTCAGACTATGACTGCGAGCACTGGATGGACGCGGACATGCCGAGGCCCACAGGACACCCAGACCAAAGGAGGACGGCTGAAGCTCTAAAGCCAAGTGCCAGGCAGGAGGAGGGTGTTGCTCACACTGCAGCAGCCACGGCCATTCCCCATCACACGAAGCACAATCAAACAGTAAGACGTACCACTGGTGGTCCCCGTACCACTGCCCGAGCCAGGTCCGGGGGACGAGACCACAGTCCTGTAGGTGGGTGGTGGTGGGGGAGGTGGAGTTGCTCTCTGTCCCAACCCAAAATCTTTAGGAGATGAGATTGTTTCTAAGTAATCATCTTTAATGAAGGTCTGCTCAGCGACTTTCTTCTGGACTTCTTCTAAATTTAGCGGAGATGGTACATTGCGAGGAGGCCCAGGGGGTCCTGGGGGCCCCGGGGGACCAGGAGGGCCTGGAGCTGGGGAGCCAGCTGGGTTGTCTGATGCAGCTGGTGGGGACACCACCTTTTCCCTTGGAGTCAACTCTGGAGTAACGTGGTCCGGGGACGTATCAGAAAAATGGACCCACTTTTCTTCAGCATCAACAGCGACAGACTTGGGGGACAACACTGGGCCAAAAATGCTGTCCAAGTCATTGATGGATGGTAGTTTTTCAATTTTGACCTCTGTGGCTGACTGGTCATTTCCTGTGGTTAGAGTAGTTGATTTTAAACTTTGACTTTTAAAATATTATTTGTAGGGGGGTGGGGTGGGAGGGGTGAAGCAAAGCCTGGTAGATATACAGCCTTGTGAGGTGCCGCAGTGGGCATACTTCATGATACGAAAATATCTTATTGGATTAGGAGCTGAAGGTGAGAGGAGAGTTCCCCATCTCCATAATGTGAGCATCATTTTTTTATGCTATTATTTTCTCTTTTACAAGCTGACCACAGTTAGCTACTTTTATCATCATTTAAAGTACTGAGCACGATACTGTTCTTAAAGGCTGCTCACAAGCACACAAAGTGTGATCATTTTGAGAAGGCAGTGTTACGTTCTCAAAGAACTACATATTTTGCAAAAATTGCAAATTCCAAAAGGGAAGTCACTTCCGAAAATCTGGCCTGCTAAAATACACATAACATAATATAAAAAGAATTGATAACTGAAAATTGCCCTCATATTTTATACAGATTGTCTACACTAGTATATTAAATGAAAATGTTTGGTGAAGCTAATTGTAATATCTGTTAGTTTTAAAAAGTGATCTTATCATATTTAGCTATATGTCCTCTACCTTAAATACACCAGAAACACAGGACAAAGATTATTTAAAGAGATATCCCCACACAGATATTTACGAACACACACATATACACCCCACATTCAACACACACATAGGTTATCGGGGAGGCATTTGTTACTTATTAGAACTGTTACATATATACCTGTTTAATAGAGAAGAAAACTATTAAAAAACTTTGTAATTTCTTTTCTCATCAAGTCCAATCTGTTGACATCATAGCCATAACTATGATATATATCTCTCTGAAGTCATGATATAGAAAATCTCTGTTTTTCTTAAATATTAGCATCAGTTATTCTTTTTCATCCATCCCAATAAGAGAAAAAAATTAAAAACTGTCTTCTAAAATTATCTTCTGCTATTTCATTGGCATAAAATACTTGATAACAACTGCAATGTGAAGAACTATCCCTTTTTTTAAACTGAGGTTATTCACATTAGAAATTGTTGCTAAATAACTGGAAGGCATGACCAGAAGACACTTTACCTTTAAATAACCCTGGGGCTATAAGAACCAGCTTAGTATTTCCATATTTCCAGTTTGAAAGCAATTAACTTTCAAGGTTCCAAGGCTACAGATAAATGGGGTAGCACTTTGCACCATTCACAGTATTTATAATTTTGTCACTGGTAGGTTTATTTATATCTAACATAATTTGCAAAAATACAAGGAACCGAAATGGCTTGAACTTGCAAACACCTTTACTTATGAAACTCTGGATGATTCTCTATTGGGTTTGAGTCAATATAAATTTCATAAATGACTATGTCTTGCTTTTGCTTTTGTTGATAAATACCCTGCTCTGTAGCTATCAGACTCACCAGGCTGCATAAATAGCAAAGAACAAAGCTGCAATAGAATTCCAAAGATGATAAAGAACCACATCCTAGGGGCCTAGACACATAGAATAACTATTAGTACTTTTGATTTGCTAGTCCAATAAGACTTGGCAGATTATAAATTGTATGAATACACAGTATTGATTTTAATAGAAAGTAAAGATGTGCCTTAGAAATTATCTGTCTAAAGGCATGCAGCAATTCCTCGCCATATTTCATAATCTTTACATATCTCTTTGCCATGGGATAATAAATACTCAAAAGACCACTGGAAAAAATATTCCCCACCACCAGTAGGCTGCACATCCTGGGAACCCTTTTATGCCTTTGTAGACTAGACAGTTTTAGTTTTAGCAAAAGTTTTATTGGCTCTTGAAAAAATAAAATTAGGCCTTGAGACTATTAATTTGTAAATCATTATAATGAGATCCAATGAAATAAATGGTTAATTAAACATGACTTTTCATACTGAGATCTTTTCCCTTTCACTTTACAAGTAAATGGGGCCCTCATTCAATAAAATTACACTGAGGAAAAATTAATTGAGAAATTATTATTTGTGTATTTTTTTGCAAAACCTGGGAGTGGTGCCTTAAAAATAAGCCTGCACAATAAACTGTAATGGAAGCGAAACAGAATGCCAACACTGTCATGTCTTAGTGTAGTCTGCAGTTTCCAACACATCAAGGGCACATTGGTCCAGGGCCACTGTTAGCTACATCATCCCAGAACAGAAAAAACTAAAGCTTACCTGGTCCAATGGTTAAGGGGGAGCCTGTTCGGGGTGGGGTAGCTGGTACATTTTTTGGAGGCAGTGGTGGAGGTGCTACAAAGAGATGAGAAGTCAAGCATTATTGATCACATTCCTTCTCAGTTACACTATAGACAAGCAGGATTGGGCTTTCATTTATTTTCCTGCTATTGGAATAGCTATTAATGGTCTACATTTTTTTAAGTTCAAAATCAAAGGACTGAAGCTGGACCCATTTGGATTCTTCCATTTTATGAGAATAAGAGTTTGTCAAAAGGATGTCAGTCAGGTAATAACAATAATATCACCATTTTATTCATTTAAATATTATTCAACAAACCTCAGACAACAACTGAGTCCCACCTCCTGTGCTAGGAACTAGAGACATAAGGTTGAATACAAATAACTTCTGTCCTCAAGGAATTTATGACGGATTGAATGGATATCATGTTACCAGACAGTCACAGTCCAGGATATGATAATGGAAATGCTAACAGGTTGGATGGGGGCCAGGTGAGGGGCTTTTAATCTAGTCAGGATATTATTTTCTAGATTGAGTCAAGAAAGATTCTCAAAATTATATTTCTTAAATTTTGATAAATTTTTGAAAGTCAGAAGCAAAGTGACTTGGGTGGAAGAACAACAAACAGATTCCTTTGGTACAAATTACAGCCAAACAAAACCCTGAGATAGATAAAGCATAGTATTATGGTCCCTCCCAAGAGATTTACCCTTCTGAACTGGACTTGGAACTTCATGGGCAGAGTTTGGAATTAGTGTTTCAACAGGTCCTTTTCTTTTTCTTTCTTTAAATGTATATTTTCTCGTCACTGACCCTATTTGGTAAATTCAAAGAGTTCACACTAATTTCATAAACCATCTGAAGTTCAGTTGTGAACCTGAATGTGGTCCAACCTTTCATAACCTGAAAACAGAGTGAGTCAGGTGGGCACGTAGCTGCAGGGATCTTGCCAGTAGCCTCCACTTGCCTACATTAGGAAGAACCTCTTTCTGCCATTCCCCGCTCACCCCTGCACATTTTATTTATTGATTTTTAGACAGCACCCTCATCTGCCACACAAGCATGACTCAGCTCTCATCCTAAAGCCTATGAATATGTGACTCTTAAACTACACCTCAAGTGGATCACATTTTTCCATGGAAGTTAAGAGTCAACGAAGGGCTCTGGTCCTCATTAAGGATCTCTGCAAAAAATTAATCAAGGTCATAATCAACAAAATATCATAAAGCAAATAAAATAATATGAAAGCCTAATAATCTAAAAATAGTAAATTTGTGCTGCAACCTTGAAAGAAGCAGAATTACACAAGGCACATCAACTAAACAACAGCCTCTACTGTGCTAAGTGTAACCACAGCACATAAAACTCGCAACTTTGTAATACCAATAGTTGAATTTAAAAGGAATACATCACCTATGTAAACATCTTGTTTTTTTACATTTTTGGCATTTAGGGAGGGTTTTCTAGGAATAATTTGACTTGCTCAGGACTGTAAAGAAAGCCTTTCAAGACATTAGAGCTTTTTTGCCGGTTTTATTTCCCAACAGCAGGGAGAATGTTTAAAATCATTGCCAGTGTGGTTAAAATGCCTTCAAAATGCATCTTTCAAAGTTCGGAAGTTTAAAAAAGTCCTTGGTAATGCTATTTTTCCTGTCCTGTTTAACGAGGGAAATATCTTTGGAAAGGCTGGATCACATGGATTTAGAGCAATAATATTCCCAACAAATAACCTCTTGGCCTTTGATTATGAATCCCCTTGGTTAATTCTTGTGATCATATTTAGACACCCAAAAGCAGAGCCCTTGGGATGATGAACTGCAAAAAGGGTTAACTGGTCCGTATGTGAACACTAAGGAGTAAAAATATCCTCTGTATCCCCGTCTTCCCCCAAAACCACCTTTTTCTGAAATTCAGTCTCCCATGGGTATTTAAAGAGTGCCTTCCACACGCATGCTTGCCATGAGCAGTATACTTAAAGGGGAATTCAATAACTTCCTAAGAAAGGTGGCTTGACCAAATGAGCAATCCATTCAGAATGAACAGTCCATCCACCCCAGGTGGAGGGCTATGTAGATCTTCAGGACCTCCTTCCCCAGCCACCTGGACTGGGGCTGGGGGATGCTTGAATAAGCAGGGCCGATGGTTGCTTTGACACGAATTTACCCTGATCTCCTGTATCAGCTTCTCCCTGCTATATTGCTCCATTTCTTTTGTTCTCCAATTGTCACTCTTTCCTCTCAACGTGTCCTTTCTGTCTTGTGCAGCCTCAGTTGTTCTGTTGGACTAGCAGAAACCAGATCTGACTTGTTCACCTCTGTGTTGTGTGATAGCCCAGTGCTTGGGACATAGTAGGTTCTTTAGCTCACTTGCTTCTCACTCTTACGTATACATATTGAATGAATGAATGAATGAATGGACATGTGGGATGTTAGAAGAGGCTGTGATTCAAGGTTAATAATTTTACTTTATTATTTTCTTCTTGCCTTGATAACCTGCTTGGACCATTTAACAACATCTCTTCTTAATATTATGGAGTTCAAATGTCGCTTATGTAGACTTTCTAAGAGTTGCCTAATCTCACTATGCAGACAGACAGTAAAATGAGTCACTTATTTTTCCAGACAGAGCAGACCCATAACTTACTTCCAGTGGGAAAAGGCCTTGTTAACTTTGGCGACTCCATGCTTGGATTAATTGGTTGGCCTGAACCCCATATTTCAGGCTGATCTAAAAGAACTGGAAATGTAAAAAGAAAATTTCCCAGGGTGAGTTTAAAAACAAAACAAAACATAAAAAACGCAAAACCAATGCACACTTCCCCACCCCGCCAGATTTTAGAACTTAAAATATCAATTTAAAGTTGAGCTTCACAAAATTATTTCCCTTTTGCCTTAGTACTGAAAAATTAATTTAAGAATGTGCTGCTCCTCATTTTTTTCATGCAGAATAGAAATAGAAGTGTGGTGTGAGTGTGGGCGGGAGGGGTATCTGTGTGTACATATAGCTACATAAAACTTTCAAAGTGAATCTAAATTTTCTTCCCAGTTGGTCACTTAAGGACATTCTGAGTATCAGTACACGTACTGGCTCCATTTCTGGTACTCATTTGAAAATCCAGGCATTAATTCCGTGGACATTTGTTTTGTTGCAAGTGGATTTATTTGAAGTCTGCTTTGAATATGCTTCAAAACTGAAAATGCCTTGGTTCTATTCAATGGTTTCTATCTTTAAAGGGTCTCACTGGGCTTTTAAATAAACATTTTACAGCATCATAAAGAGAAATGAGAACCAGAAAAACAAACAAGTACTTAGACATCTAAAGTAATCAGTGCAATTAGGTCTGGGACCTTAACATTTCTTCTCTTTCTTTTCTCTTCTTATTCTTATTTTTAAAAATTGCTATGGTATCAGTGTAAACAGCTAGCTCTTCTCAGCACCTATGGTATGGCAGGGACTATACAAGGACTGCTCTACTTCATTATGTCATAGAGTACAGGCTGGGAAGTCAGATGGATGTGGATTTGAATCCAACCTCTGCCCTTCCTGTAGGTCCTTGGACAAGTCACTTAAACTTTCTGAGCTTCCTTCCTTCAGCACATAGTAGAGATAATAATAGCAACCTCAAAGAGTTACAAAGAGGATTAAGGGAGGTAATGCATATCAATATAGTGTGCATAAAATGTAATAAAACATTTATCGTAAAGCCAGTAGCTATTGTTATATATTTTAATCCACATACCACCACCATGTGGTTGATACCAGTATCATTGTGGGAGAGGAAACCAAAAATTAGGGTGGTTAAATAACTTGTCCGTGGTAAAAACAGAGGAGCTGGGATCTGACTCAGGAATACCTGACTCCAAAATATGTATATATATTTCCCCAGGCCTTTTCAACTAGTGATAGAAAAATCAGTCGAAAGAAGTAAGGGTAAGTAGATAAGAAAGCAAAGTGTGGGCAAAGAGCTGGCGTAGTGAGTGCAAATGTTGGAACTTTATAGAACTTCAAGGGCTGAAACCATCTAAAGGGTAATCAAGCCAGTGTATGGACAAGTGCAGGTATGTATCTCCTCTCCTCCACCACAAACCTCAAGGATGGTTTTAGCTCTGTTTTTATTTTTAATGAATGAAAACATTCTCCAAAGATATGATGCAGCGTTTTTTTTCATGGATTTAATGTGGGACACTGCCTTGATGTTTAAGAATGGTTTCTATTTTTTATATAAAGTTTCCATATAGTTATGGGATTCCTTAAATAGCCAGATACAGCTGCAAATCCCACCTCCAGTCATCATATAATTATGTCATTAAAAGGGAGACTGATCATGGGCGAGTTAATAAGACAACTGAGAGCACTACTGCAAGGCCACCTTTACACAGGGATTCTAAATTATGGACATTTAAATCGCTGTAGGAGTATTTAGGAATGTTCTTTGTGCATTTTTCTAACAAAATCATTGAAAATTTTCAGGTGTGGCTGACTGCTGGCTGTCTCACAGAATCTGTTCTCCATTTCTTCTATAATAATAGAGTTTTAGCTGGCCACTTGGCATCAAATTCTTTCCAGTGGGCTTTGGTTGGAAGCGATTTGTGTCTCTTCCAGATTTTGCTCTTAAAACAATTGGCGCTGAGTTCCATTGGCCTTCTCTTCACCCCCTCTTCTTCTGACTAGGAGATGAACAGTCCCGTTGGACCCAGAGAGAAAGGTAATATGTTGAAGATTGCAGAGCTACCCCACCAGTCCTATGTTGTTTACTTCCAGACTGTTAACAAGAATCAGTAATAAAATTCTATCTTGCTTCATTCACTGTACTTTGGGGTCTCTTAGTTAATGTAGCTTAGCCTACTCATTATGCTTCCAAGTCTTTCTGTCCTTAACACTTAAGACACTTCACCAATATGTCCTAGAAAAACATTTTATTGTACCTATACCATGATGCTCTTCAGTCAAAGAAAACATTCTGTACTACCAAACATAGCTGCCGGAGATACATGCTTTAGACATAAACACATTTCAGGAATAGATTAGATTCCTTTTATAGAGAGTTTATCTTACATCAGTAAGGTACAAATTATTTATAGCCATCCTCAAAAAACTGGTTTATTTTTAAAGGTTAAATATTTAACTCTAGGAATACAACAATAATGGCAGAAATGAAGATATTTCTCCCACAGCATTTTATTTCTAAGTTGTGAATGATTCAAGGTTGTTCCTGGGTCTTGAGCCAGCAAACAATGACTGTTGTGAGCAATCTAAGTGACACATCCACTGATGAGGTGGAAAAGAGATTCGATGAGGTCCGAGGCCAGATCACAGTGACAGTGACCACGAGAGGTGTAAGGAGGCCTAGCTCCATTCATGCTCCTGCTGACACCTCAAATGATGGCTGTTTGGCTCACAGAACATTTACTCCCCGACAGAGATCTGTATAGATTTGCAGTAATTCTTACTGACTTCTTTTGAGATGTAAACTTTTTTAGCTACTAGATATTTCTAGAAGTAAAGTTTCAAATTCTAAAATAATGGAGGTTTGCAAACTAAACTGTTCTTGACAGCACACCATGATCGGAAATTTTCTTTCCCATGAGGATCTGATAATATATTAAAAATACGCCTCAAAATACATACATTTACTCTAGAAAGGTTACACTTTAATAAAAAGAAATACAAGTCCATAGATGTATAGGGTTTTTTCCTACCTTCCGTCTTCTGTTCATCAAAAGCTGATTCTAATGGTGGGCCAAAGAGGGGAGCAAGGGCCATAGTGTCGTCTGGAGGCTTTTTGCTAAATCACGTACATTAAGGTAAAATACAGAGACAGGGCTCAAAAATTAGTGCTCAAAAAGATACATAAGCTTTCGAATATGGTTCTCAGCAAAACAAGTGTCTGTGCATGTGTGTGCAAAGCTCCTGTAGGGCTAGAAAGTATCATGTAAGGATGTCAAATGTAGTATTAGACAAGAGAATTGGTGGGAGATAAGATCCTTAGTTCTCAATGGAAGACCAAGGGGCTGGTCCAACAGAAGTAAATCGGAGGGAAACACTTTCAAAGTATCATGTTTCTCTATACCTAGGAGAGGTAATACTCGAGATAACAGTTTATTGCAAAGCACCTTTCTTCCCTAAGATCTCAAAAACCATTTATATTTATCTTCACCACATGTCTGTGTTGTAGTTAATACAGTTTATGATTGGTTAAAGTCAAGCATGGGATATTAAATGACAAGGCATCCAGGAAGTTTCATCCTTTCCCCTCCCACTCAACAGACTGGTTACAAGGTCTTCAGACCTCGATAGAGAGCATCTCAGAGAGAGAAGAGTAGTGAGAGATTAGGAAAGTAGGAGGACAATAAGTTAAACTCCCATCCTTTCTCCTAATTATTCTTCTAGACTGATTTTTGAGAAAAGGCTGCATGATCGCCATTTCTTCTCCAAACTTGATTCCCCTCGTTGATGCTAACGCATCCTTATGCATGCGTGCTGAGGGGTGAGGGGTGAAGTGACGGGAGTGGCGGGAGCAGGAGGGAAAAGATACAGAAGCATCCAGCCTTGAAATGGGAATAGCAGTCTTTTTAGAAAACAATGCCCATTTGTACAATATTTGCTTAACTGGAAGAAGACACTGTAAAACACAATGCTTTGCCAAAGCCAAAAACTAAAATAGATTATTCCTCTGGTGTGTGGCAGGTGGAATGTATCATGAAATTGTATCCAACTAAACAGGCTTCTCTTCACAGGGCAATATAATCCTATTTCATATCAGCATTCCAGACACCAAAAGACCTCTTTATAGAGACCTTTAGACCTTCCCATTAGTGAGGGCACTGCATATTTCGTTAGGCAGTTATTTTAGATAAGTACAGAGTATTTCCCTAATGGTCTCCCTTGGGCTACACTTATGAGAAATGATAACATATTAAATATTTGGACCATGTTATGAATATATGGATTTACCTGTATAGGTAGGCCTTTTATTAATAGAAGCCTAGAGTTTAGTCCAAAGGAGACTTGCTTAACTGTTAAAAGTTCATGATACCTTGTCTAAAACACAACTAATGTCTTTTATGCTCACCTTATAAGCTCTGGAGTTGGTGTGGAACGCCTGGGTCTTGCCACTTCTTCACCTGATGCACAGGACAAAGGCAATTTTTAGGCATATTTTTACCATTACTCTCTGATATGTCTTATGAATTATGTTTGGAAACACTTAGAGATTTAAATCCCATCAGTAAGCAACTCAGTATGAAAGCTTTGCAAAACAAACCTTCTCCCCTGGCAATGCAACAGCTATATATTAGGCATATGTAGTAGCATTTTCTCTGGCATTTGTAAAACCTCATTAACCAAGGAACTACCATGGTAAGCCATCAAAGAGAAGATTTGTATACTGCAGAGCTTAGTGGAATAGCATACCATTCTTGGAATGTCTGCTGCCTTGATTGGTTCTGCTTCCCAATTACCATAAAAGAATACTAAGCCAGGCCATATGTGTAGCACATGAATCCAGCATTCTCTGCCTGTTCTTTTCTTGAAATGCCAAGAAAATGTTATATCTTTAACTATGAATCATGAATTTAGAATTCCCTAGAATGTGTTGTATGCAGAAGAGGAAAATTGTGCTCTAGGTATATTATAACCTATATCATATCCCTTTGGTTGACTAAAATTTTTATATCAAATGACATAAGAAAGGGTGAGTTGAATCTACTTCTGTTCCTTCTGCCCTCCTCCTCTTCCCACCTCCCATCAACAAATACGCACTTGATTAAATTCATTTCTGAAGTTAAATACAGCAAGAGTTAACAAATATAGGAAGAAAATAGCAATGTTTTTCCAAAAGCATATTCATTTTCAGAATTTAAACATTAATCATTCAAAACCCACAGGGGTTCATTAAAAGAATTCTTTGCTGTAAAAATAAAAAAATTTGTAAGCCTTAAAAATCAAGCCCAAGAGTGTAAAATTCAAATGTATATATCCTCCAAGATCCAAGGAACTATTCCTTCTTTTAAATTGTACTCTATTTCTGGTAGCTAAGATATACTTACTGGATAAGTTCCTTTTAATTGCACCCTAGAATTAGAAATAGACACTATAAGGTTTAAGACCACATATATGTTATGTACAATATGTATTATTTCTGTCATTGCAATTAAACTAAACTCAAAGAAATGCAGATGTGGAAAATGAAGTTTTTCTCAGAACCACATTCAAGTTGGAAATTGTAGATACATATACATAAATCAGTTTTCCATTTTACTCAAAGATTACAGAGAGGAAGGAAGGGTAAATCATAAGTCTTCTGAACAAGAATAACCCCTTACCTGAGTGGATATGGTAAATTAAAGACAGATATTGAATAGTTTATTTTAAAAAAATCCTCTTGAACTCTAGCAGATAAAAAAGTAAATCCAAATTTAACATATGTTTGATGTCTGAAAATTGTAGAATCTATTTAGGAGTACTGTATGCTACTAGTCAGGTGGGGTTTTCAAGTAGCTAGTACAGTCATCAGTTTACAAATGTGATTTTAAAAGGTATAAGTGGCAAGTGTTCAAGGCAAGGGAAACTTGGAGGCATCTGCCATCAAATGTACTGTTTTATTCAGGGAGCCAGGAAATTCCACCCTACCCATTCATCCCTCCTCTTCCCTCAGTTTCTTCTAGTTGCCTGCCACTAGGCCTGCCAGTCCACCAACTGGGAGTTTTTTTTTTTTTAAGTACAAGGCATTCAGATATTATTGGAATACAAATAGCCCTCGCAGGAATAATCTGAGCAGGTCATCTCTGGCTTCCATAATGCCTTAGCATAAATTTATTTAGGTAATGTAAGGATGGATTAGACTAAAAGTTTTGATTAAAAACCAGAAGCTGTGAAAAGTTCCTAGCATGGGATGCTACCAGAAAAGTAGACCACCAGGAGGGTTGCACCGTGGGTCAGGGGATGGCTTGGCATGCTGCCTTAGGATGACGGGGGCAGAGACGAGGGCAAGAAGTGCAAAGTAAGAAAATATCCCAAGAGGTGAGATGAACGATTTGTGGAGTGGCCACCAAACACATTTTTTTCCTACTTCCTAACCTTTTGGTGAAGGTAGTGAAGGCTCAACCTGGTGGTCACAGATATGTTTTCTTCTCTCAAATTATAAAATTAACAACTAAGGACAAGATTTAGCGCCTCTGTAAATAGACCTACTAGAAGCTTCTTTCCCTCATTCTTAAGGATATATCAGAATTTTCTTTCCCATTTTGAACCCATTTATGATAGAAGTGAGTTTCACTCTGAACAAGGATCTATCAGATATTTTCTCAATCTCTCAAACTACATTTTCTGGCTTGTTTCGCCTAATAATGCAATCTATTTCCCCCTACTTTATGTGCCATATAGAGAATTATTACATTATTATGAAAGTTTTTAAATAAATATGATCACTTAAATTTGTTGTAGTCATGTGAGTTTGGATACAGGTTTGCTTTTGGAAAAATAAGGCTTTGCAGACAGAAATAAATAGAGAATAAATTGTTTAAATGGAGTTAAAATGTTTTTCTGGATTGTGGACTGTCGGATAATCACAATTTTATTAGTAAGGTGTGAAGAAAGAGATATAGGGGCTTTAGTTCCAAGTAGTCAATGACAATATTAATAAGCTGGCTTTGAGGGAACAGAGCTCCCCTAGTGTTGTGAGACATGAAATCCAGCAGTTAGGGGATCCCAGGAGCTATACTGAAGACCTTTTGGTTTCTCTGTCCTGCTCCTTTTATTAAAAATATAGTACCCATGAAACAAGACAGGCACAAAGCTCCTTTTGTATTCATTAATTCCCAGGTGTGTCAATTAATTCAACAGATATTCACTGTTGAAAGGCACTAAAGAAGTCCCTGTAACATTTTTATTAAATACTCCTCATGAATGAACAATCACAGGTTAAAGTACAAGCAAGATTTGGCAGAAATGTGCAAGAAAACTCTGTTGTTTAGAAATTAGGAAAAATAAAACTAATATCAATTTAGAAAGGGACAAATATTTGTATGATCAGCATCAAGTCAGCAGCCACGGAAAAGAAAGTCCTGTTGTCTGCTGATTCGGCACACAGATCTTTGATGGCCTTAATGCTGCAGCAGGAAAAATCTAGAACAAGGTTAAGGTGATGTCAACCACACAAACCACACCCAGGAATGAAGCCCATTGCATTCAAAAACCTTCTCCTCCTCATCAGTGACCATATTTTCCTCCTTTCAATGATTGTTTGTTGTTATATGTATGTTGTGAATACATTTTCTTCATTTTGAATTAATGAATTTACTCTTTTTCCTTTAAAGAAAGAATCACTTGTCCTAATTTGGGATGTCACTTAGCAGCTGGGTTGGAATCACCCACACCCAAATAGCAGCGCCTGTAGATGCCACCTTCGAACCTCAATTAACGCAATTTAAACCGAGAACCACCGACTTGTCACCTGGGGCGGGGTAGTTGCCTCAAATAATAATTGATTAATCAGATTGACACGGGCCTGTGGATATTTCAGACAGCATTGTTTTCAGTTCCATTTCCTCTCTGAAGGGACTGACCAGGTAGATGGGGATCATTTAAAACATAGCAAAGACCTTTCTTTTTGTCGCTTTAAATTAATCACACTCTTCAACTTGAGGAAAATGATTGAGAATCCACTTTGAACAATGTAAACTAATATTGATCTGACCTCCCAAAGTTTGTCTTCAGTGATGAAATCTACTTAGAATTATGTGACAGCCCAGGACCATTGACCTGACAGTGTGTCTCCCTCTCCCCAGATGGAAATTAGAATTATGTATCAGCACACAATGACCAATGTAAGTTGTGGTCCAGGGACATATTTTGAATTCAGGCTTAAAAACAATATGGCTTAAAAATTGTTTCCTTGCAATCTTTATTGTTTTATTAGTCTTCATTATCACTTTGCTATCAACTTCTATTGGGCTTTCTGGTCAATCTCCTGGTGTTTCATACACACACACACAAACACACACACATACACACAACCCCCACACACACATTTTCAAATTTAGCACTAGAAGTTGGGATTCCCATGTATTAATTTAGTTGGCTATGGAAAAGTGCTCAGAAAATTCTAAAATATGTCCTTGACACTTAGAGGGTCAGAGGCTTCCAACCCCCTAAACCTAATTCATCTGCTTCATTCACACTGGGTTATTGGAAATTTAATGGGAAACCAACCTGGCCACCTTGCCTTGGCAGCAATTTTCTCTATACATGTTTAAGGTAAAAATGTTGAGAGTTCTTACCGGGCTGCGCCTCTGTGATCAGCAAAAAGGAAGAGAGAACAGACACCTAGTCAGAGAATGATGGATCAGTCAACAGGCTTGGGTAATAGAAGACTTCATAAACAGCTCACCAAACATACACTCTGAATCATCAGGCCAAAGGAAGACAGGCAGTCATTGTGTTTAGGATTTATTTAAACCATAGGAGCCTTTGCAGAACCATAAAGCTGTGCATGGTATAATACAGCTTTGCTAATGTGGATGTACAAGTTTTACCTATGTTCACAAAAGAACAAGGCAGAAATGTACAAGTAGATGTCACTGACAGTTTTTAGTGTCTTGCCATAGGAGTTTTTCTCCAGATTATTTGGAGAGGGGAAACTTAGAGAATAAACAATATGGGGCAAATTGTTCCCCTATACAACAGGGTGTTAGTCAACATCACAGACATAAAGCATTTCCCACATAGTTAGGGTCTAAAGGGGGCCTCCAAAAAGTCAGAGGTGGGATTTCAAGTGTACTCTCCTTAGTCTGGCTTCTTTCGTTAGTGTTCTATGGAATGTGTGCTTATGAGGACTTTTTCTGGTACGTATATATTCTTGGCCCGATGATTTGGCAGCCTCTACCAAAGGGGAGGAATGTGATGGGGAAGGTGAGGAGCCCCTGACACACACAGGTGGGAATAATGAAAACTGTCCAGCACCAATAGGACACCAGGGGACCAGAGGATGCCTGGAAAATACAAGCAGACATACAACGTCTTTCTTTCACTCTTCAACCCTTCATTATGGCTGCTGTCAATTTTCCCCAGCAGTCTCTGATGGCTCCCTCTTTAGGATTTTTCTGCCCTTACAAGAGTGATGAGGATGTGAGTTGGGAAGGGGATGTTGCTCAGCGTTTCACTTTCAGGATGCGGGCTAATCCATGGATTAACCAGACGCTACCTCCTAAAACCCAGGCCAGGAGCACAAACACAAAAGTTGTTAGGAGCTTGAGCAAATGAAGAGGATGGTCTACTCTTCAGAACATGACAGGAAACAAAAAACTGTAGCCTTTCACATTTGGGAGACCTCCATGGATATTTAGTCCAACGGCCTTTATGATAGAGAGAGGGGAGTGAGGCTCTGAGACACACATCTTGTAAATGGGCAGAACCAGAGACAGAATTTAGATCTCCAGGCCGGGCGCGGTGGCTCACTCCTGTAACCCTAGCACTCTGGGAGGCTAAGATGGGAGGATTACTTGAGCTCAGGAGTTTGAGACTAGCTTGAGCAGGAGTGAGACCCCATCTACCCGGTGCACGCCTATAGTCCCAGCTACTTGGGAGGCTGAAGCAAGAGGATTGCTTGAGCCCAGGGTTTGAGGTTGCTGTGAGCTAGACTGATACCACGGCACTCTAGCCCAGGCAACAGAGTAAGACTGTACTGTGTCTTAAAAAATAAAAAAAAAATCTCTGATCTTCCATGCTCTTGTTCTTTCTATGACACCAAGCATAACATTGTTGGAAGATTACTAAAGCAGAGAGCCATTGTGGCTAACATCCAGGAATGTTATTTCTCAGACCACTTTTGTAAGTTGCTAGGACTTTAGACATATTTACTCCAGTCAATTTTACTTACAATATTTTAGACTTTATTTGCTCTATTTTCCAGGTACTGCCCCATATTGATCCCACCTCTCTTAGAAATCAGTCTATATACATGGATACAATTTAAATAAAATCAGAAAAAAAAGGATGCTTATGTATTTCTGGGCTTGAATTCTGTTATTGACTAATCCATACTGTATTTTGAGAAACATTCAAACACTTTTTTATATGAAGATTTAGACTTTATTATTTTTTAGTGACCATGCTAAAGTTCTTTTCTAAAGAAGGAAATGTGGGAATTTTATGACAAATGACTCACTTCTAAAATACAGCAAACAGGGGACTAAAAGTGACACAGTTTCTCCAGATGAAATTATGAGGAATAATGCAAAATAAAATGCAGATTGCAACCATATTGAGGCAGAGCCTTAAGTACAAGACTATTTATATTAATTTAAGATTATACGGAATACTTTTCAAAATAATTTCAAATATATTAATGTACCCAAATTAAGTCATATCTTAATTTCTAATGAGTTAAAAACCTACCTTTTTAATCAATAGCTTATGCTTGTATTCTTTCTAGTAAAAGACAATCATGTAAGATAGCATTTTGGGAACTGCATTTGCAAAATGTCTTCATCAAGGAATAGCTATTCAAATTCATGTAGCCACAGGCTGATTAAAGAGAACCCAAATGACACAGCTAGAAGCTGTACAAAGAGCAGACCCAGAAGGCTTCAAGATCTATAATCAACAGGGATCTGAAATCTTCAAAAGGAAAAGCATTCCAGAAGTTAAATGGAAGGGCTTTATATACAATAATTATCACCACTAAAGAGAGTAAGACAACTTAGGCTCTGCCAGAAAAGGACAGCAAAGTTATTATCAGCTAGGAGGGAAGGGTCTTTGCCTGTTCAAAATTTTATTTTACCTTTTCCCTTTCATTTCCCAAGAATGTCAAAGACTTTAGCATCCTATGTTTGTTCTACCAGTATATAGAATTTTCTTCAAAGGCAGAAGAAAACCAATTCAGTATCTGGTCTTGATATATTCGATAAGCTGAGAGATCTATGTCCAGAGTTGCAAATGCAGATGCTTCCAGGGGTGAGGAACAGGAGTGGGTGCTGGGAGTCAGGGCACATGTGCATCATGAAACTGGTGAACTGGCCACTATTTACGTGCTTCCTGTGTCTGCCATGTGAGAACGTGGGCTTAGTGCTGCCAGATCTTCGGAAAGAAGACGAGTACCCAGATTTTTAAAAAAATTTGAAATGTTCTTGTTTTTAAATGTGAGCTAAAATTGTTTTTAACTGCACAACCAAACAAAACACCTATTCAGTTGTTCAGAATCTGCAGGTGGTCAATTCGTCTCTGATTGCAGGCATTTGTATCATACATAATAAGCTCTTAGTGAGTTCTATCTGCTGTTTGTATTACTTCATTTCTACATCAGATTACTCAGAGACTTTGCAAGTGGTCTACTTGTTTTCTAAACAAATTTCCTGCATTCCTGATTAAACATTAAGTGTTCAATTCCTAGATTTCTCTTGGTCCTCTAATGCATTCTGGAGAAGGTTTTGGAACATTTTATTTTCCATCCTACTTTTATTTTGGTGTTCAACTTAGAGATAACTCCTACTTTGTACTTTAAGGCTATTTTCAAAGTGAGTAAAAACTGCTAATTTATGATTTGGTCACTGGAATGAAAATCTTTGGTTAGAACATGTTATATTTCTAAAATGTATATAAATTTCGATATGAATGTGTCTCCCTAAAAGAAAATACTGCAGCCTGTGCCCTTGTAGTCTCTGCAGCGTTCCTATACCACACTGTGGTTTTGTTTTATTATTTTTTCATAACAGGATCAATTTAAATTCAGTTAACTAGGATACCTTAGTCTTAGTCAATGTAGGTAAAATGTTTTAAGACATTTACCATTTGTAAGTAACCAAACACATTCTGTTTTGCTTGCCAAATTCTCTAAATAATCAGCCTGAGATTTTGAAGTTATACAAATTTGCTAACTTCAGTGTTATGGGGAAACAAAGAGGAAAATAGGTGATAAACTGAAAAGCACCAAACAAATATTATTTTTACATAATCTAGTTATAGCAAATTCAATGATTGATGTTAGAGAATTTTCTAGGAGAGAATTACAATATATGATTATAATGTTTATTATTATGATCCCAGCCAACTTTCCTATTTGTTTTGAAATGCTTTGGGTGAAGTCAAACTATCTGGCAAGCATCTATTTGCTCCACTCTTGTAGATGTTTGTCTATATTTAAACTTGTTTCTGTATATATTACAAGTCAGATTACAGAGAATACTTATTATATCCAATCAGACATGTTTGAAATGATCTTCCGAAACTCCATTTGGGAAAAGAAACAAAGAACCTGTTGCTAACAGAGGTATCGTTAAGAGATGACCAGGCTGAGGAATTGACAAGATGGACATTTGCAAAGAGAAATGAGGCAAGGGAGTCGGGGGAGACATCCCTGAAAATGCACGACTGAAATGAAGAGGCATACTTGTAGCTATAAGGACAGCAGGGGGAGCACCAGTGAGGAACAGACAATTTTGAAAGCCCCACAGGCAAACTTCAGGCCACACAGTCCTTTCAATATGTGAAGTGGCCAAATTCAGTTAATTCAGAGAAAGATTCAGGGTCAAGGAGAATAAGTGAAATTGGCAAAGTATAAGGAAAGGCTACTAAAGGGCAGCAGCAATACTGTGCTGCCACGCAGCAGGTGACACGTAGTTGACTCTCAATTACTCAGAAGTGGGCCATTTTAGCTTAGCAATCATCATAATCACAATCACAGGTGCTTATTTCATTTTTGGAAACAAAAATATGTGGGCCCACATTTTGATCAATTTTAATATTTTGATCCAATTTTGTGCTCTTCCGGCGACTTCCATCCATCCTCCGTCCCATCACGTGGACTTTCTGCACATGTAGCGTCCTACACGTGGCGCAGAGACTGCCAGGATTGGGTCAGCGGGCAGGGTAAGAGGTGAGGCACTTATTGCAGCCTCCACTTAGGCAAGTTAAATTGAACAAACCAACTGCTTCTCGGTGCTGTTAACATGGAAACACAATATTTTCATATTTCCTAGCAAAGAGGTCACCTCTGTCAGCCATACGTCGGCATCCTGGGAACATGTTCCCTACAAACCAGGCAACCAAGAAGAGACCATAAACTTTTTTTTTTTGAAATCTGTTCCATGTTGTGCTAAAATAAAAAGATGTAGGTACAGCATATCAGATTTGTGCTGCCACTAAAAATCACCCACTGGTACTAAAAAGTAACATCCAGAAGGTGATTTACATTTTATAAAGATCCTCTTTTCTAGTTTCTGACAATTCTAGGAGGGGATATTTTTATTTCCTTAAAAAGAACCCCCCAAACCAGACCCCAAACCCCACTACTATTCCTATTTCCCAGGCTAGTTTGAGAAGCATTCAGGATGCTACCATGTGATAGATACATTAAACAAAAAATCAATTTAAAAAATCTTTGCCTAACTCATAGCATGTCTATGTGGCTTGACTAATTCAAGTGGAAGCCATAATAAATGAAACTTAGTACCTAAAATATTTGATCATATGCCTGTGATTGAGGTAGAGGTGAAACTTTACAAAATTACCCTGGGTTAACAACAGGGTTTTAAAATCACTTAGCAACCAACTTCCTTTTTGCCCCATGTGGCATAATTAGACCTTGTCCTGGTTCACAAAGGTTTGTTTTTAAAATTCACAGCCTCGTTTAGGTGTTAAACACAGTCAGCCATTAGATATGCAGATGATGAAAATAAACAGAATAGATATTTGGCCAAAGAGTGGAAAGGACTTATTTCTTACCGGACTTTTCCTCTAAGAGCGTAGGCATGGGGAGGAAAAATAAAGAGAAAATGAGAGAGGTGAAATGTATTTTCCGGAAGAAACAGCTCAAGGCTCAGAATAACCTGACTAAAGGCAGCTCTCTAAGGCACTACCGCTTTTATATAGGTTTTCTGTGGGTGTCTGCTATGATCATTCTTAGGCTGCTGTTTTTAGTTCAAGCTACAGAGGGCATAAGTGCGGCCTCCATGTGAGCACATTCTAGGCTTTCTTTTGAATGGTTTGCTTTCATCAAATGAATTTGTGCCTTGAAAATAGAAAATTATGCTTGTAATATTGAAAGGAGTTGGGAAATGCCATTAATGCATTGAAGCCAGACATGGTCATGCAACTAAAACCCGAAATTTTCCAGAAACTCAATCTCTACAGAGAACCTGGTACTTATCATTTTCTCCTGCATCACCCTGGGTAGTTCTTCTTTGATTCCCTCCTTGATTTTCCCCCATTCTCCATGGACAATTACAAATTATTACAATTTGTAATTACAGTTACAAATAAGAGAGCATTCTGGGGGCTCCTGGCCCCGAGAATGCTCCTTATTTCCTCAGCAACTGTCTTAGCAGAGGCTGCATTGTGTCTTCCTGATAGTACATGTGCTTCTAGCCAATGGTCCTATTTCCAGTTTCATTTCCTAATCCCTCCTTCACACTATCCCCTGAATTATTTTTCAGAAATAGGGAAGTGAATATATTAGTCTGTCCTTCAAAAACCTCCCTGCTATCCAGAAAATAGAATGCAAACTCCATTCTATGGCATTTAATGCCTTCATGATGGGCTCCAGCTCACCTCTCTGCCCTCATTCCTCTCTTATCTCTGTATGAAGCTTGCATTTAGCTGCAAACTCTCCTTGCAGCCCTTGGATGCACCACACACACGCGCGCACACACACACACACACACACACACACTCTCCTGCCTTCTGCCCACGCCACTTCTTCAGCCTTTGATGGTTCCTTCCTCTCCCCCAATCAAAATCTTACTCGTCCCTCAAGGTCAGGAACATTTCTTCCGTGACACTCTTCCCAAGCTTGTCAGTCAGAATAAATTGTTCCCTTCTCTTGTTTGATTGCAGCCCATTCCTCTTGTTCACAATAATAAATAAACAAATAAATACTGAAGGCCTTTCTATTCGCCTGACATTTATTAGCCTCAAGGAAAACAAAAGTACACATTGCTAGGACATTTTTGCCTTTCTTATTTTGTTCTGTATCATTTAGATATCTCTACTCGATTATTGGCTCATGTAACGGTTATGAATGGACTCTCTCGAGCCCCAAACATAGTGTGAGGCATAGAGTAGGCACATAAAACATGATTAGGAATTCTCTTTTTGGGGAGCTATTAAAACATTATGCAAATATTTGAAGTACAACATCTTTTGAAATAGGGAAAGAGGAATTGCTCTGTGAAATAAGGCTGTTTTGTATATGGCCTGAGCCATGTGCCTCCTCCTATAAATATTTCACTTAGCTCCCACTTAACCGTTACTTTCTCTGTCCATTAGTTCCCTCAGGTGCTAATACATCTTACAAAGGTTCTAAGGAAGTGGTACAGCTTTGTACAAACGTTAGTGCTGATTATGTGATGAGATCTCCAGGGTGGAATTTTCTCCTACAGCAAATACCAATGCTTCAGAATAGCTAAGGGCCAAGAGAGGGGTCGCATCCTTGGTGCCACTTTCAGATCCAGATCCATACTAAGTAGCACAGAGAAATAAAAATTACATTCACAAGATCTAGATTCTCAATCCACAGACAAAAAGAATTTTTGAGTTAAAATCAAATAGCTTTAAGGGGGTTGTCATGGTGGAAGGAAGAGCATGAGCTATTATACATTCCAATTAGTTCAACCCCTTATTTTCCGGATGCCTTTGAGCAAGTTACACTGTGGTTCAATTCAATAATTTGTAAAGCAGGGTTAATGGCCACTTTGTAGGATTGTTGTGAGGATTAAAAGACAAGGATGATATTGACAGCCAACATTTAGTGAGAATTTACTATTGTTTTACCTTATATCATTGGTGTCATTATTATCTCCAGTTTGCTGATGAGGGAAAGGAGGCTCAGAGGAGCTTCAAGGTCAAAACCAGGGAGCAGAGCCAGGACCGGATCCCAGACAGTTTAGAGAACCTGGACAACGCGGGGCTCTTGACACAGCCCAAGTCCCCCAAACAGATTGAACCCACTTTCAGGGCCTTATCAGCTTTGGGATCTAAAAACAATGTAGCTAAATGCTCACAGATCACACAGCCTGGAAAATTTTGGATCTTTCTAATGGAAAGAATTAAATAGATCATGCCAGTCTAGCATAGCGGGTGTCAAAGAATGAGTTTCTCAGAGAATGAGCTTATGTTTCTAGGCATGCTTTCAGAATTTAGGATTAAACTCCAATTATAGAGTAAATTTCTTGGCCTTTTCTAGAGTTAAATGCATTTTGTTTAATTAAAATTAGAAGAATAAGCATGAACACACAAATGATAAAGGCTACCCCTCCCTTCCTGCCCATACTTTCCCACCCCAAGCTACATAATGTATTAAACCATATTTATTCAACATGTTTTGCTTTGCTAGCAGCTACCAAAACCCAGGCTATGGCCTCTTAGTTTACAGGATCCTTCAGGATATTAAAAACAAAAGTGAAAACAAACACAAAACATGACAATTCTCTTTGGGGGAAAACAAAGATATTTCTTGATTTAAAATGAGCTAATAGCATCAGACTTGATTTTTAATTATGGAAAAGATAAATAAGAGAACTGGGAAAGAGATGTATATACCTCTGGGCTTACCTGTAAATACGTAGAAATAGAGTACGTGAATTTTTGGACTAGACAAAATCATGTACCTAAAATATAACCACTGCATGGGCGATAAGTGCAGGGATTTTCCCACCCCATGGCCTAAGAAAACACAATTCCCGACCTGCAAGTCTTGTTGAAATGCAGCTCATGCTTACGAGCAACAGCTTTCCAAGGAACCCATAGACCCCTGCCGCCTGCAGATGGAGAATCTCTCTCTGGCTGTTATTATTCCGACTTGGTAACGCAAATCTTCATCCAAGTTAGGTTTTGTTGAAGCCTTCATTTTTGCATGAGGGGCTAGAAATCGGCAACACTTAGAACTGCATTCTGTTTAAGACCCAGAGCCAAAGCGAACGGAGGTGAATGGAGAAAACATACACCGGAGTTGCGACCATCCCTTACATAGAGGCTTTGTGATCTGAATGCTTCCCCGCCCACTTCACAGCTGAACAAGGAACTGAGCTGCCCTGGGAATTTTGGCATCAAGCATCACAGAATGAAACCAAGACATACAAAGTCAGATCTAATCTGCAAGCCTTTTTAGAGTCTGTAATCATTTAACCTCAAAAATAGGATGGCTATATTCCAAATCTTTATATTTTAACTAATGGGATTCTGTTATAAAATAACCACTTCCTATCAGTTACTTATGACTAGTCAGGTATTCACAAGGAGTGAAAGGATGATTTATTTATTAATCCATTAGCAAATACTTGTCGAGCACCTAATAAATACCAGACACTATTTTAGGGACATTAGCGAACAACAGAAATAGCAAAAAAGCTCCAATGAGCTTACTTTTGAGAGTAAGGGAAGGAGACGCACAATAAATAATAAATACAGTCACGTGCTGCATATTGACTTTTAGGTCAACGATGGACTGCATAGACGATGATGGTCCAATGAGATTGGGATGGGGCCGAAAATTCCTATCACCTAGTGCCATCACAGCACAATGCTTTACTGACATGTTTGTGGAGATGGCGGTGTAAACAAACCCACTGCACTGACAGTCATATAAAAATATAGCACATACAGTTATGTACAGGACATATTACTTGACAATGATAATAAGTGACTATTTACTGGTTTGTGTGTTCACTATACTATCCTTTTTATTGTTATTATAGAGTGTACTACTTCTACTTATAAAAAAAATTCAGGCAGATCCTTCAGGAGGTATTCTAAAAGAAGGCATTGTTATCACAGGAGATGACAGCTCCATGCCCGCTATTGCCCTTGAAGACCTTCCAGTGGGACAAGGTGTGGAGGTGGAAGACAGTGATATTGATGATTCTGACCGTTGTGCAGGCCTAGGCTGATTGTGTGTGTTTATATATCAATTTTTAACCCGAATCTATCCTTCTCTATAAGGCCTGGAAAGAAAAAAGGTTCATCTCACATGCTGATTTCTGATTTTGGTCTGGCTGGCTGCAACTCCGTCTACAGGGGGTTTCTCAGACTACATCTGGGATCTAGTGGCAATGTCTACTGAGGACTTGGGGTGGAGTGTGGTGGCTTACATGCCCCAGGTTTGGTAACCCTGGGCTAGACCAACCCAAATCACACTTGCCCTGTGAAGCTGTCCTTGATGAGTAGAACTGAAGCTGGGCCTCTGCCTTCCACCTCTGTGCACATGAGGTCTGGGCCGAGCACTTAGCACTAGAATGCATGCAATCTTTAGCCTCTCCCTGCACTGTGCAGTGTTTCTACCAGCAGAGAATGCTGGGTGGGCGGGTAAGAGACCGGAGCTCTGCTCCCCCCTCCCGATGACTCTTTGTTTTTACTGAACTCAATGGGGTGCTGAACCTTCTGCCAAAGTGAGGACAGGAAAGGGGGTGGTGTTACCAAGCAGCAGCAGATTCATGGATTTTGCTCTCTAGCAGGCTCATTTGGGGGTGGGAAGGTGGGTGGGCCACCTGGAACAGGCAAACAACACCAGATCGTCTCCAGTTCAAAGCTATCTCCCCCTCCTCTTATTATTTGGTTAAACAAGGTGTGGATTGCAAACCTCATTGCTCCTTCATAACTCAATGTCAAATTCTTTGATTCCTTGTATCGCTGGATTTTGCAGGAGAATGGGAGGAGGCACTAGCCCACGTGCCAGGATAGGTCAACTCCTACTCTTCACATCATTTCCATCAGCCCTCTTTTCCTTGACTTTGCTCAAGTCC